TTTTTGAGGCACATCTTGCTCTGGTGCCTAGGCTGGAGTGTAGTGGCAAGATCACAGCTCACTGCAGCCTCAACCTCCTGGGCTCAAGCAATCCTCCCACCTCAGCCTCCCAAGTTACTGGGACTACAGGCATGTCCCACCACCTCTGGCTAATTTGTATATGATACATATTTTTGTAGAGATAGGGTTTTGCCATGTTGCCCACCTGTGATTACAGGTGTGGGTTACCACACCCAGCCAATGTACATTTAATTATCGAAGTGCTATCTATACTATTTTATGGAAGTACTAATTAGCGAAGTGCATTAGAGGTCTTTTATTGTTTTTGTTTGAGACAGAGTTTCGCTCTTATTGCCCAGGCTGGAGTGCAGTGGTGCAATCTCGGCTCACCGCTACCTCAACTTCCCAGGTTCAAGCAATTCTCCTGCCTCAGCCTCCCAAGTACCTGGGATTACAGGCATGTGCCACCACCCCCGGCTGATTTTGTATTTTTAGTAGAGACTAAAATGGTCTCTCCATGTTGGTCGGGCTGGTCTCAAACTCCCGACCTCAGGTGATCCATCCGCCTTGGCCTCCCAAAGTGTTGGAATTATAGGCGTGAGCCACCACGCCCGGCCAATAGAGGTTTTTAAACTTTTTGTAGATAGTTTTGAAAGATCCTGTCTTCCTTTAAGAAATGAGAAAAGGCTGGGTGTGGTGGCTCATGCCTGTAATTCCAGCACTTTGGGAGGCCAAAGCAGGTGGATTGCTTGAGCTCAGGAGTTTGAAAGCAGCCCGAACAAATGGCAAAACCTCGTTTCTACTAAAAATACAAAACATTAGCTGGGCATGCACGCCTATAGTCAAAGCTAACACAAAGGCTGAGGTGGGAGGATCACCTGAGCTTGGGAAGTTGAGGCTGCAGTGAGCTGTGATCATGCCACTGCACTCCAGCCTGGGCAACAGAACGAGACCCTGTCTCAAAACGAAAACAAAAACAAAAAAATGAAGCAAGAAGGAAAAAAAATAACAAGAAAGAAAGTGGTAAGGGAGGAGTGCCTATTTATTAAGCTTTTGTTGTAAATAGTAATTTGCATATCAGATGTTTACTGTAATATTCTTTCAGTTTTGCCTGGCCTACAGCTTGCTGTGTGCTTTTGTACTCTGTTTCATTTATTTAGGAAATAATATATCAATGTGTTTTATTCATTCCCAGCTCTAACCATGGAATATTGGGATTGTCCCATTCTATGAAGGAGGTTTGCCGGTCGCAACAGGAATATTCATGAACATGGAGGTACTTTGTTTAAGTTACACTAACTTTTTTACTATTCCCCACTCTCATCCTATCCAGTCTGCTCACTATATTCTTCCATCCTTCAGCACCCTTCTATTATCTCTTCCTTCATCTTAAAAACCTTTCCTTTAATTTCAACAGTGCTGCATGGGTTTGTCATTTCAGGGGTTGGTCATGTTCCAGGATCTGTTTATAGACTTCTCTCAGGAGGAATGGGAGTGCCTGGACGCTGCTCAGAAGGACTTATACAGAGATGTAATGATGGAGAACTACAGCAGCCTGGTCTCACTAGGTAAGGATGTCTATCCGCAAATAACTCATGAATTTTGGGTGTACCTTTTAGTTGTCTGGGTGAATTTTTACCTGTTGCCTAGGGAATTGTTTTGTGTTTTGTAGATTAAGAGATGGGCAGCTCTTTGGGGTCCCTCCATCTTCTCCATGCTTCAGACCTTTACACCTTTCTCTAGTCCTTCATGAGGACTAAGGGACTAACTTTGAATTCAGGAACAACAGGAGTATGTCTTACTTCTTTTCTTTCTCTTTTTTTTGAGACAAAGTCTTACTCTGTTGCCCAGGCTGGAGTGCAATGGCGTGATCTCAGTTCACTCTAACCTCCATCTCTCGGGTTCAAGCGATTCTCATGCCTCAGCCTCCTGAGTAGGTGGGATTATAGGCATCCACCACCATGCCTGGCCAATTCTTGTATTTTTAGTAGAGACAGGGTTTCACCATGGTCGTCAGGCTGGTCTTGAACTCCTGACCTCAAGCAGTCCACCTATTTTGGCCTCCCAAAATGCTGGGATTACAGGAGTGAGCCACCATGGCTGGCCGTCTTACTTCTTTTCTTATAAACAGGTCTGTGTATCCCAAAGCCTGATGTGATTTCCTTACTGGAGCAAGGGAAAGAGCCCTGGATGGTTTCAAGGGACGTGCTGGGAGGATGGTGCCCAGGTGAGTAAGGACTGAGCAGATGGGGAAGACACTGCTGTTTAGAACCCAGCTTGTCAGGGAGGCAGCACCATACAGGTATTGGTTGAGGAGTCTCTTCCTTAAGGTCCCATGTAAGGGTTGTGGCCTAAGAAACATGGAGAAAAGTCATAATACCCCCCAACACACACTTTTAAAAATGTATTTATTTATTTATTTTGAGATGGAGTCTCACTCTGTCGCCCAGGCTGGAGTGCAGTGGCGTGATCTCGGCTCACTGCAACCTCTGCCCCCGAGTTGAAGCAATTCTCCTGCCTCAGCCTTTGAAGGAACTGGCATTATAGGTGCCCACCACCATGCTCAGCTAATTTTTGTATTTTTAGTAGAGATGGGGTTTCTTTTTTTTTTTTTT